GAAAGAGAAAGGCATCTTCTTCCTGACCTGGAAAAGAGCAAGATTTAAGACCTACTCTGGGCCCCAGCGTTTCCTTCAGACGGGTTTAGGCAGCTCCCCACTCCGGGGACTAGTATTTGTGGATAACACTCAGAAGCCCCCAGTTGTCCCTCCACATATGACAGTGCACATAATCTGAATTGCAGTTCCAGATTTCTGCTGGGGGGGGCAAGGAATTTAAGAGTAGAGACACTGTGCTTTGTGTTAGAGTTGCTTTATCATCTGTCACTTTGGGCGTGATCTAGTTAACTTTTGCAGCCAAGAGTAAGTTTATTATAGAATCATTAAGGTTGGAAAAGACCTCTGAGATCATCGAGTCCAAAACTCGATGACCTAGTCCTTTAATAAGGTCAAGAAAAGAATAGGCTGTAAATCTGCTGCTACTCACTGCTGAAGTAGCTTCTAAATCAAATGAAATGCAAAGCTAGACTTGCAACAGTGGGAACCTACCATGCTGTCTTCCCATGGGATAGAGCTGCTATTCTCTAAACTAACCTAGCTCAGTCATCTCACTACAAGCAGTGGGATCTCTGTCATGGGAAGGTGCCATTGGTTTGAACTTAGTTGCTGTCTGCAGGGGTATGACTTTTCCATAATCAACAACATCACAGTGTGCTAGTATTCCTTCTCATTTCACCAATATCTGACTTTGGATGCTGTAGAATATAACAATTAAAAGAAATATTGATATGTTTTCTTACTGCAGCTATTGTCCAAGGAGATAGCTTAGAAGATATATATAATCAATGCAAACTTGTAATTGAAGAACAATCTGGGCCTTTCATCTGGATTCCTTCAAAGGAAAAATTATAAATTAGCCACTGCACCTCTGATTACGACGGGAGAATATTTAGAAGAAAACTATAATATACTATTTGGAGGCTTTCCTGTTTTTGTTGCATTTATGTTCTTTGCAGTCAATGTGAATTTTGATGAATGTACAACACAAAGTGTTTGAAGCCATGAAGGACACTGATGGGTCAAAGGGTAGGATCAAAAAGACTTCTACCATATAAAGCAAATCTGTTGTGTGCTCAGAGCACCAGTTGTAGGTATAAACTTTTGACATGGAGACCCTCTGTCAAGGGGAGCTAGCCACCTCCTGTGCCCATGCGGACATTTTGATCGATTTCAATGGCTGAGCTCAGTGTGTTGATTGCTTTAAAGAGAAGTTCCCAGCTCTTGAACCTCATATAGGGCTTGATCCTGCAAGGCGCTCAGCACTTGACCCCAATTCCTACACGAGTAGCCCGTTGACTTGGAGTCACTTGTGATCCTTCCCTATGCCGTTCAGTCCCATCAATTCCAGTAGGACTATTCATGTGCTCAAAGCTAAGCACAGGCTTAAACGTTTTGCTAGATCAGGGCCACATGCACCTTGCAAAATCAAGCTCAGAGTACTTGGTCCACTTCCTACTGAAGTCATTGGCAGGATGCTCTTTGACTTGACTGGGAGGTGGATCCTATTCTAAGCTTGTCATTGCACATTTGTAGTTGGTACACCTCGACTTTGGTAACTATGCACATCTTTTGATTTCTGAAACCAAGTCAAGCATTTCTTTTTTCCCCTTTGGAAACACTATTGCATCAGGAACTAATAACAATATAGTTTATTTTAATGGAGTTTGGGGGTGGGAGAGGATGGAAGCATTTCACATCACACACACGTGCACACAAACACATTCCCATGCGGACACACACATGTATGAGGATTCACAGCACCTATGTTGACAAGGAGGGATACAACTGGGAAAAGCTTTAAAATTTTTGATTGTCTATTTTATCATTTATATTGATAGAAGGCACTTAAAGATGAAATAATTTATAAAAATAAAAATATATTGATGTATAGAAACTAATTTCTATAGGTAAAAATGTTTTTGTGAGATATTTTGTAAAGATTAATTAATTGAAAGATTAAATATTTACACCCTTGTGCGACTGTAAAATGTAAAGAGGACCATCAAGTTGCATTATCCCTTTTCCGTAACAGATTCTCTATTATTAATGACAAGCAAGATAATTCCTTAAACTGTAGTTGTCAGCTTGTTTTTCTCTCAATTTAATCCTCTCCCTTGCCTCTATTTAATCATGATGAACTCCTGTGGAAAGATCTCTTGAACTGACTGCCCTGTAGGACCTTTTCTGAACACAAAAGGATAATGTCTCTTTAAATTGAAATGGATGATTTTTCAGAAGCAAAATGTCAGTGCTTGAATGAAGTTAATAATTTTTCTCTTGGAGGAGGTCACACTTCACCCCCAAATGTTTTATGATTCTTCCTGTTTCTTTAAAGGGAATACCAAAAGCATTTGATCTTTCCTCTTTTTGTAGGCAGGCAGGTCACCAACTAACTTGTACCTTCATTCATTTCACAGTCAACAAGGGTCTTAAAGCAAAAACTGAGGCAATGGACATTTGTGAGGGATTTGGGGAAAGTCTGTGGAATTGCAGTTTGAGGTGCATGGAAGGGGAGAGGGAGGTATTTTTTTCTCATTTCACATTGCCCTTCCTTTGTATACTGATGCCATTCTTCACTCTGACACGCAAGGGGACAACTGCAAGAGATACCATGATAGTAAACTGAATTGCCTTTGCTGCTGCTGGACCAAGTTTTCCATAAAACCCACGCTCTCCTGCCTGCTGCACCGCAGGAGTCCAATACTTACTAGCTGGTGGCTACAGCAACCCTAATGTTTAAGGACGTTTTAAGGGCAAATGCTAAATAGACTCCTCAGTTACTTGTCTATTTCTACACCCTGTCAAGCTGACAGGTATATCCAGCCCACCTCCGCGGAGAGCGTGACTAGCTGGATGTTTGTATTATAGCCACCAGCGGTGACGGGGTTAAAAATATGGGCATTTTAGCGGCCCTGAGATGGCCTCACTTACTGCCCTACTATGGTAACTTTGAGAAGTTCACACTTCTTTTACTACTATTGTTCTTGCCTGGCCAGCGCAGATTTATAAACAAGGGTTTCAGTTACGTCTCCAAAAGAGCTTTGTAATCAGAAGGGCTAGAAACATTTTTTTTACAAAATCTAAATGAATGAAAGCTACGATTTTGGATAATTCTGCAGAAATCCACAGAGTGACCCCAGATCTTTGGAAGCCATGGATTTTTCCATGCTGGCAAAGTACTATCGCCCCAGATCGGGAAATAGCCCACCGGACCTGAAAAACCAAGTATCCTAAAGCAGGAACTTCATCCTAATTTTCAGCTCTGTTTTTAAGCAATCAATCACATCTGCTTCTTTGTTTCTTAGTTCAGCATGCAGCCTTTTACGGTACTATCCTACTAGTAACTGTTTTGCTTTGTCATGTGCTGTGCTTTACGGTGAACAGTAACACTATGGCTGAGTACAATCAATTTTTCCATCAGTCTTTGGTTACTGTAGTAACATTATTTATTTTTCCCTGTCTGTTGTTTGTGCTTCCAGTTTAGAGTTGCCATTGCACTTCTTTTTTTTTTTTTTTTTTTAAATAAAACATATATTTAAAAACAAATCATCAAGAGAAGCAGTGAGAGGTCTTATTTCCCTTAGGACTTGTACACCCTTTTTTTTTTGTGCGTTGATGTTTTGCGTTTCATGTTTCAGCGTCCTCAGAGCTGCAGTTCTTTTTTGCATTGCAGCTGTTCAGATCATACTGGGTGGTAGTGGGAGGAGGAAGAGAAACATAAAATTCATGCAAAATTACATCTGGTGCAAAAAAAAAAAAAAAGTGCAAACTCACAACCCACAGCAATTGGCGCCTGAGACCGTATTGGTGCTAACACAGCTTAGCGTAATCAGATTCCTTTTCTGTCCATGTAGAAGACTTGCGAGCGTCTAAACATGAGACAAATGCAAATGCTGGACCCTTTAGGAAAAGTGCCAGATCACACCCCTGGTGCTATTTCTCATGTTCTGGCACAGTGTGTAGCACCGTAGGGTCTAAGCAGAACCAAAATTATCACAGCTTTTTGTCCACCCATGAATGATCACAACGACATCTTGCTAGCTTTGTGCAGATGTGCAATATTACAACCTATTTATTTCTCCTTGCCACAAAGCATCTTCCATGCACTGACTCATTGAGAGCTTGCTAACAGGGCTCAGTGAAACGGCACTCCACTGGTCTGACGGTCTGACCATCAACCAGTGAAAGAGCCTCTTTCTTGCTTAATTCCCCCTTCCTACAGAGGTACCCTGTCCATGCTAGTGCTTTGTAATTTCTTTGGTAGTAAAGGCTGTTTCTAGATAAATATTCTGTGGTGTAATTGTGTTTGTAGCTAGCATGGTTTGATGCTCTGGTGTGGATAGGGTCCTAGGAACCACCCTGTGAAAGTCAAGGATAAGAAATCTCTCCGTTGCACTGAAATTTCAAATCCTCATCCTGGAGAGCAGTGTTGAACCTGAGCTAACAACCACTACGAGCCAGTGACAGTGTCCTAGTTATACAACGTCCACCTACCTATTGACATTAGTTTTCTATGGAGAAATTGTTGGTGTTACACCTTCACTGTTACTTGCTCATCAGCACTCAGTCAAATTCTCTTTTTGCTTTGGTTTTCTTACATTTTATTTTTTGTTTTTCAAATTGTATCCCTGACCAGAGGATTCGGTGAGTGACAACACACAAGGATATTTGTAGGAAAAAAAGTGTTAATGAAAAAAGTCTCAATCTTTTTAAGCTGCAGATTTAAAGCCATAATATCTGCCGTGTTCACAGAAAGTGGTCTTTTATCCTTCACAGCTTTTAATCTCAACATTTTTTCTCTTGAACATTTTGTCTGCCATGTTATGCATGTGGTTCACTGTGCAACTGCATTCATATGCTCACGCCCATGCCTTGGTGGAATAAATGTATTTTCCTATTCCATTAAAAATCAGACATCTTGTCAACTAGTTCAGAAGTAAGAATGAGGTCATCATTATGTTAAAAAAAAGGGTTCCCATTTTAGGGCACAAATCAGCATCAAAGCTAACAACAAATAACATCTAAAATCTATTCAACATACAGCTAGCCTAGATCCTCAGCTGGCGTCAATCATGGGCACTCCATTGATTTCAGTGGAGTCCATCCCATTTACACCACCTGAAGTTACCCATCCGTCCTCCCCGTTACACCAATATTTTAGCATTACTGTAAAACACCAAGGCCACATGATTAAACAGCAACTCAGCACCTTCCATCATTATTTACTGCTTATATTACTGTAGCACCCAGAGGGCCAAGTCATGGCCCAAGATCCTTTTGAGGTAGGTGCTGTGAAATTGCTGAACAAAAAGACACCCCATGGGCCAAATGCTGTGGCCGGATTTTCAGAAGGCTTCAGCCCAACAGACATCTCACCAAGAGCAATAGGAACCACTACCCTGCTGGCCCTTTTGAGAGTCTGTCTTTAAGGTGAGGAGCCTGAGAGGCGATCCATCATCCCTCACACTGCGTTAGCAGCTTATGCCGTCTGGCCCTGACCTACAGTGCGGCAATATGCCCTGGTGTAAAACAGCATTTCTGGGGATGGGCGGTAGCCAGCATCCTAGGCAAGATCTCTGGAGGGGAAAAAAGCAAAGAAGAAAAAAAAAAAAAAAAAAAAGCAACACTGCTGGCTCTTAGTGGGATAGCAACCTTTTAATTTCTGGATTTGTGTTCCTAAATTTGAATCGGCCAGTCCGAATTTCCGAGTGCAGCAGCCTGTACTCAGCAGGCTGCTCCACCCGGCACTCTGGCCGGCGCACGTCTCTTTAGCAGGATGTTTCTCAGTCCAGCTGTAGTGTGGGGTACTCCGAATCTGGAGTTTACAAAATACCCTGTCCAGCTTACACTCC